GCTGTAGTAGATGGGGAGAAAAGAAGACGACGCGTTGAACGCTGAAGGGCGCCCCCGAAGTCGTAAGAAAGAGGGGAAACCTTCTTACTGTGCCCTGGGACAGGAGAATGGAGGAAGCGTGTTTGAAAAAAGGGGGGAAACTTTTGATAATTCGGCAGATGTCTCGTGGCTTGCCAAGCCACGAGTCTTTGCCTATATATGTATATATATATATATAGGTGTATGATGTATGTGTATATATATATATATATATGTATATGTACACGTATATATACATATATTCTGTACATATATATTTAAGAGGCGGCCATGTAAGTAGTCCTTGTAGTCCTTCTTATTTTTCCTTTTCTATACCATTTGGCTCGTGGTCATTCGTCGTGAATGATGAAATTTCCAATCAGGTAACAAGGGACAATGAACTGTTCTACCCAAAATAGAAAAATCGTCATAGTTACTTCTCTGAACTTTTTGCAACGGTTCAGATCCATGGGCGACAAATACCTACGTTGTTATTATTATTATTATTATTTATTATTATTATTATTATTATTATTATTATTATTATTATTATTATTATTATTATTATTATTATTATTATTATTATTATTATTATTATTATTATTATTATTATTGTTATTTTTTTTTTATTTACTTTTCGTGTAATTTTTCAATAAAGAAATATATCACTTCTCATAATTAGTGGTTCGATATAAAGTATCACACAAACATGTACTTGATACTTTAACTGATCGAATTCGAACGCTTCTATATAATTATTTCGAAACATAAAAGCGATAGATAGTTCTATGTATTCTATGTATATTACGTATTCAAATAACATTCGATATGAATCTTTTGTGAATACGTATCGAAAAATGAAAGTAATACCTCCAAATGGGCTTGAATCGTATAATAGATTTCGAATCTAATAATAGATACGAAAACTTTTATAAGTAACTATCTGATCAGAAATTTTATCTTATATCAAATTATTGGTTTCTTGCTTTCTTTAAAATCAATGATCGTACTATCTTTATTCATGATTCACTATCATAAAACAATAATTGATATTATAATAATATACAGGAGTCTATCATACGGATATTTTATTTTTTTTTTTTATTATTATTATTTTTTATTATTATTTTTTTTCTTTTTTTTTCTTTTTTTTTTCTTTTTCTTTCTTTTTCTTTCTTTTTTTTTGAAAATATTATCACAATATTTCGTTTTCTCGAAGTGATTACGGATTTTTTGACAGGTATTTTTTAAATCAGATTTGCGATGTATTACGCGCAAATTTTTATTGTATTCTTTTTTCTTTTTTCTTTTTTTATTGCACGTTTGAAATATTATTATTTAAAACCTGCTACAGTATCTTGATATCCCAAGATTCTAATAGGTCACATTTGTGAAAGTTACAGATTCTTTCTAACGTTAAAATTTTGGAAATCTTTCAATAGGCCCGCAGCTACTCATTCTAGTGTTCAAAATCAAAGCTTGTTGATATAAATTAAATATATTGTAATTTGTAATCATTTGTAACATTGATGCTTCGAAATAATATTCGAAAATTCGCGAAACGAAATTCGGATTTTTAAACACATATATATACATATGTATATATTGAATTTGATTTTATACCTATTTGTAATTTATATAATTCTTTAGAAACTCTCGTTCCTTTTGAGAATTAGAAAAAGGACGATTCTAATGGAGTGCTATGAAAATCATATAAAATGTGACTCGAGAGAGAAAGAGAGAAGTGGCAGCTGTTTCCTTCTTTACCAGACACCTGCTATCGACTATTAAATCTTTTGAAGAAAGCTTAATTATGATTTTACCTTCTTAAATAGCCAAGATGTATGAATGTATTCTTAATTATGAAAGGCAAACGGATCTACGGATTAAGCTGATTTCCGATTTCCTATGGTTTCTGTTGGATCTTATCTTATCATTAAGATTAAGGCTTTTTTTGTTCTTCTCCCTTTCTTCTTCTTCTTCTTTTTTTTTTTTCTAAGGCTGGCTCTTTCGAAAGTTCCGGAGATCATTAGGATTAAATGGAATTATCGAGAAAATTAATTAAAAGGAAATTCAATCGTTAGAAATTCATTCGAATGGGAAACATGAAGGGACTGTATTATTTATATATATATATATATTATAATCAATATATTCTTACGTATCTACACGTGCACTCGAACGATAACATCGTTGATATATCATTAATATGTATCTGTTCCCTTGTTAACCCACGTGCAAGGAAGTTAGAAAGAAAGGATGGTTGAAGATATATGAGACACAGGAAGAAATAAACGACATTTAACAGCTTTCATCCGTGAATATGCGCGACGAATAGGGAGAACTATGTTCATTCCTCTTCCTGTTTGTATTAAGTGGTACAAGGTTGTTAAGTAATATTTCTTCAAACGAAAGAATAATAATAATAATAATAATATATAATAATATATATATATAATTAAATTATTTTTTCGATATCAATAAAAGAGAAAGTTTTTTTCTTTTCTTTTCTTTTCTTTTTTTTTCTTTTCTTTTTTTTTCTTTTCTTTTTTCTTTTCTTTTTTTTTTCTTTTTCTGTATTTTAATTTTCAAAACTTTGCATTCGGTAGCGAAACAAAAATTCGAATATTAATTTAATATAATAATAATAATATATAATAATATATATATATAATTAAATTATTTTTTCGATATCAATAAAAGAGAAAGTTTTTTTCTTTTCTTTTCTTTTCTTTTTTTTTCTTTTCTTTTTTTTTCTTTTCTTTTTTCTTTTCTTTTTTTTTTCTTTTTCTGTATTTTAATTTTCAAAACTTTGCATTCGGTAGCGAAACAAAAATTCGAATATTAATTTAACAAAAATTTATTGAATTGCTTGAGGTTATATTTCTTTCAATTTTAATACACGATTGTTATCTATTCGCATTAAAAATTTATAATTCTATTCGTAAACATATTCTAAACAAAATTATTCGATAATACAAGTATTCCTGTTACGCATATCCTTACGTATATTGTAATCTGATTCTGTTTATACGTCTTGAATTATTCATAAATGAGTATGAATAATTTTCATAAATCGTAAAACTTGAAGAAACGTAATCGGCAAATAGAAATTCTACTCGTATTATATATAATATATATATACATATATTTTTTTTTTATTTTTTTTCTTATCTGATAAGAAAGATACAAATAATCTTATATTACTTACGTGAAATTTTAAACGAAAATAGCGAATAAGTTTTTAGCGATATTGCCACGTGCTTCAGCAACAAAGCTCAAGGATAATAGCGACCGTTTGAAGTTTCACGAAGGTGAAAGATTCTTCTTTACTTACATAACGCAAACCGAAAGGCGCGACATGGGGCACGCCTTTGCTGCCTTCGAATACATTTACGATTCATTCACGATAACTTCTTAGTCTCTCCCTCTTTTTCTCTAAACATTTTACTTCCTAGTCGTCCGACGAGCAACAAACCAACCTCATCGCGAATATCTAATAACTTGCTAGAATTTCGAAAGAATTCCTTACGGGTTTAAAAAAGTTCCACTCAATCATTTAGTAAAAGCTAATAGAACGAGTTGTGGTTTCATTGGTTTGGTATGTGGGAACATTTTTTATTGATTTCTTTTTTTTTTTTATCATCATTATTATTATTATTATTATCATCATCATCATCATCATCATCATTATTATTATCGTCATTAATGTCATTGATAAAGCTCGATCGTCTTTCCCAATTATTTTTCTCTCTTTTTCCTCAACAGCTGCTAACTTCAAAGATCGTTCCAAACGCTGTTTGTATGCTTCTCGTATGAGGAATTAAAAAGGGGAAGTTATGCAATGATAGCATTTACGGGACGTAACTGTGAGCGCACGTGACGTAAACATATGCGATGCGCAGATGGTCCACTGGACTCTCTTATCGGCCGTCGTTTTCTTTATTTTCTCTTCCTGTTTATCATGATTATCCATTTCGGTAATCGTCATCCCCCAACGACGACAACGACGACAATGACGATGACGATAACGATGATGATGATGATGATGATGATGATGATGATGATGATGATGATGATGATGATGATCACGATGATGATGATGATGATGATGATGATGATGATGATGATGATGATGATGATGATGATGATGATGATGATGATGATGATGATAACGATAATATCTCCGTTCGACGATATCGTCATTTCTTATTTATCTTCAAAGTAATTCGATTTTGATGATAGGAAAAATTGAGACAAAATTAAAAAGGATAAAAATCAGCGCTAAGAAATTGCATCAGGGCCATTGACAAGATATATCCTGTGCATCCATTAGAACGTGTAAAAAGGGGGAAAAGACAATGAGAGAAAGAATACACGACCGCACAAGCTGACACCGGACAGGATGTGGTTAGGGGTGGTGTCTGGAAGCTACTCTTTTTTTATTTTTCTTTTCCTTCTTCTTTTTTTCCTTTTTCGTTGAGGAACCGAAAGAGTAGGAGGGAAAGGGATAACGACAATGGTCTCATGACAAAGAATGGGCCTATCCACCCTTCCTTCTGAGATTTCCTTACCGAGAATAATTTTCTGCAAATTTATTTGGCATTATCTTAAAAGGAAAAAAAAAAGAAAAAAAAAGAAAAAGAAAAGAAAAAGGGTCAATGAACTTTGATTCTTCTCACGCTTTTGATACGACCAACTTGATTTCTTTTTCTTCTGTATTTTTTTTTTTCTTTTTGAAGACTATTCCATAAAATAAATTATCCTGCTGAAGGAAAGATCGTTAATTCAAAAAAAAAAAAAATAAAAAAATAAAAAAAAAATTAAATTCCATTAATTTGGAGTTGATAATTAAGAGTCCCTGTTTTCTCCCTCGCCCCTCTCCCGCTTATTTTTTTTTCTTTCCCATCTTTTGAATTTATCCAAATCCAGATAACTAGATAGGAGTATAACTGATGATCACGCATCTTATGAATTTTTAGATCGCGATCCGGCTACGATTCTAGCAGTGGTGAAGATTCCGAAAACGAGTATGGTACTGGTATCGCTCGGGCTAACAGCAGTCAATCACAAAATAATCCTGGCAACTCGAACGTCAACTCTCAGGGTCAAGGGAAACATATCAATAAGGGTCGTTGGACGAAGGAAGAGGTAAGAAGAGGACATCTTTTTATTTCTCTCTTTTTTCTCTCTCTCTCTCTCTCTCTCTCATCTGTCTGGCAATTCCGAATTCTGGATCCTTTGGCCGTATCATTATGGCGCTAACTCTCATGCGAGTTAAAAAGAGGACGGCAGGGGTCGGAACAATGAAACGTGCCCTCAAAAAGGACCAAGCCCAGGAGAGTGCCACCCTTCATAAGTTTTTGAACGAGTTGCGTCGTGCCTTGGGGCAGATGCCCTCGTGTTGTTCTTCGACGCCTCTCACGGCCGTCATGTTATACGTGTTATATATTTATGTATATGTAGATATATATATGTGTGCGTATATATATATACATATATATATATATATATATATATATATATATACGCATGCGTGTACATGTGCGAAGATTCGCAGAACGGTGCTCACGACCGACATATGGTTTCCCGTGGGAAAGCACACGCGAAAATCGATCGCGCTTTCGTGAACCATGCCCATGTACACATTCAACTTTTATGAGAGAATTATAGCCATGAGTAGTAAAGGTAAGAGAATTGAGGGAGAAGAGGGGGGGGAGATAGTTGTAATCGATTTTGGGACTCTTTCGAGTTTTCTATTTTCCTGTCCTGTTTTTTTATTATTTTATTATTTTTTAATTTTTTTTCTCTTTTCTTTTTTTTTTTTTTTTCAAAGTTTACACAAATAATAATTATCGTATGGATTATAAATGTCTTTTTTCTCTCTTTTTTTTTCTTTTTTTTCTTTTTTTTTTTTTTTTTTTTTTTTGATCATTTCTTTTTTTGATTCCATTTGAATTTGTAATTAAACAATCTGTCATACGAATCTCCATTAATTCGTCTGTTTTGTCGCAGGATGCTTTGTTGAAGCAGCTGGTCAGTAACGCTGAACAGAATGGATTACGATGGGACAATATAGCTGCTCATTTTCCCGAACGGAGCGACGTTCAATGTCAACAAAGATGGGCGAAAGTAGTAAATCCGGAATTAATCAAGGGCCCTTGGACCAAGGAGGTAAGGATGGAACTGCACGTGGGAAAAGAATTCATTCGTCACAGTCTGTACAGTTTCTTAATGTAAAATATTCGACCGTTCTCTTTAACATCCTTCAGTTTCCTTTTTCTCCTTCCCTCCTCTCTTTCTCTCTGTACACTCTCTCTCTTTCTCTCTGTACACTCTCTCTCTTTCTCTCTGTACACTCTCTCTCTTTCTCTCTCTCTCTCTCTCTCTCTCTCTCTCTCTCTCTCTCTCTCTCTCTCTCTCTCTCTCTCTCTCTCTCTCTCTCTTCCTCTTCCTGTCTCTCTGTACCTGACTTTATCTCAATGTTCTTTCAACATTTCTTACTGAGTAAAACTTGGTCCTTTTATATTTAACAACTAGTTCCAAAGAAAAATCTTTCGACTGAATCAGATATTTTAGTAACTATTTAAAATGTTCCGCTGTATTCCGTACAGAAAATTTTTGCTTCGTAAATCATTTTCTTTTTTTCTATTTTTTTCTTTTCTCACTCTTTCATTGCAAGAGAGAAAAAAGAAAAGAAAAGAAAAGGAAAAGAAAAGGAAAGAAAAGGAAAGAAAAGAAAAGAAAAGAAAAGTAAAAGTGACAGACCACTTCCGTCGAAGATGTAAGTCCCGTTTATGGTGTAATCTCTCAATGAGAGATTTTCAAAGGACAAGAAGAAAACTCTGGGGAATAGATTGCTTTTTTTTTTTTTTTTGTTCCTCAATAGAACAGAGAATCCTTACTTTCGTTACTGGGTAACAGAACAGTATATACATATATACGAACGTAACAAACATAGTTACCAACCGCCTACGCGAGAACTTTGCCGGGTAGACTCGGTGGGGGGTATGCAAGAAGAAAAAAAGATCTACGGTCACGGAGATGCTGCGTCGTCGTCAGGTCCCGTGCCAATGCACTTGGCAACAGCCAAGGGCAATTCGAACGAGTGACTTCGAATCGACTCAGTCGATAATGCAGTTTCTCTTTTTAAATAACATTATTAAGATATTCGTATATTATCGTTTAATAACAAAATTGTCATGTCTTTTAATCTATATAAAAGGAAAAGAGAAAAAGAAAAAAGAAGAAGAAGAAGAAGAAGAAGAAGAAGAAGAAGAAGAAGAAGTAAAAGAAAAAGAGGAATAATTGGGAACGTTCAATCTTATTAATATATGTATATACATATGGGAGTATATGCATGTATATATATATATATATATAATATTATGTCGAGCAAAACGTTGCCTAGATTTATGAACGATTCTAAAGTGTGGGTACGTGCTCTCATGGCTCTCGCTTCATCCATCTTTCCTTCTTTGCGGTCACTTACAAAGCCCCTTTTCTTTCCCCCAAGACTCCTCGACCTCGTATTGGCTCTCTCTTAGACTTTACCCAGTTTTCTTTTTCTTTTTTCTTTATGTTTCTCTTTTTTTCTTCTTTTCTCTCTCTCTTTCTCCCCTCTCTCTTATTCTTTTTCTCTTTCTATGTATAAATATATATATATATATATATATTTACTAATATATATATATTAGTAAAAATTCGAGAGATCAGTAGTTACGAAAATCTTAATTTTCATTTCAATTGTTATTGTAATACATAGTAATACATAGTAATAGTCATTTTTGTTTTTAATTTGGATTTTAAATTATAAATCTTAAATAGATAACTTTGATGTCTTGGAATTTTCCCTTGTATATTCTTTTGTTCCTTCTTCTTTCATAAGATCATTTATCCTGGTCACAGTTTTCCTCTCTATCTTTTTTTTCCTCTCTCTCTCTCTCTCTCTCTCTCTCTCTCTCTCTCTCTCTCTCTCTCTCTCTCTCTCTCTCTCTCTCTCTCTCTCTCTCTCTCTCTCTTTCCTCCTCTCTCCCTCTCCCTCCGTCTCTCTCTCTTTTCTCTGTCTTATCCCTTCTAACAGAAGAGAATTCCTTTGAATTCTTCTCAGGCTTGGTCGGACCGGTCGCGATTACAACGACCATCGTGGATTTTCCTTTCCACGAAGATTTTTCTTTTTTCTTTTCTTTTTTTTCTTCTTTTCTCTCTCTCTCTCTCTCCTCTCTCTCTCTCTCTCTCTCTCTCTCTCGAGATTTCTCATCTCTAAAGTTTTTTTTTGTAATTTTCTTTTTCTTCCAGGAGGACGAAAAAGTTGTCGAGCTAGTTGAAAGATATGGCCCTAAAAAGTGGACCCTTATCGCGCGACATCTGAAAGGCCGTATTGGCAAACAGTGTCGTGAAAGATGGCATAATCATTTGAATCCGGGAATTAAGAAAACCGCGTGGACCGAGGCGGAGGATAAGATAATAGTTGAGGCACATCGTAGAGTCGGTAATCAGTGGGCAAAAATCGCTAAACTTTTGCCCGGGAGAACTGATAATGCGATTAAGAATCACTGGAATAGTACAATGAGGAGAAAGTATGAAGCTGAGGAAGGAAGATGCACCGTTGGTACTCGAGGTAACAATATTCATGATATATATCATATTTTTTTTTTTTTTTTTTTTTTTTTTTTTACATAAAAAAAGTGTAAGTTAAAATTGATTCGATGGTATGTGAACATTTGTAGGAAGAGGTAGGAGGAAAGCGTCGGAAACTATAACGACCCGAAAGGATCTTATCTCAATGGACGAAGAAATGTGTATTGGAAATGGAAGAACGAAGAGTGCGTCTAGCAGTAACGACAATGGTTTAATTTTATCTACGAATAATACTAACTCCACACAATCGGTAAAGATGGAATCTTTAGATTGGGTTGGTGTGTGGGAGCAACAGAACAATGGACATTCGTATATTCATTCCGTGCAAGAACGTGGTGAACGGAGTAATACGAAAGAAAGGGAGATCGAATCCTCCTCTTCTTCTACTAATAGACGAACGGATCCTTCTTCGAGAGTAAAAACGGAAGATATTTCGCCGTTTACAAAGTAAATAAATAATTCGTCAAATCGGTTAAGCGATTCTGTCGTTTATTTTCACCAATTGTTATTTTATTTTCAATGTTACGTATAAAAAAAATTTTTTACCTCTCCTCCTTACAGATATTTCGGTATGGAACTGCAAAATGAAACTGTGGATTCAAGGAACGCTGAGATAAGATTACTTCCAATGCCCGACTTGGAAGAGACCTCGACTCATCTAACTGAAAGAGAGAAAAGCAGTCCTCCGCCGATATTGCGTAGACGACGAAATATTCAAACGATACCACAGAGAACGGAAACTCCCGATAGTGGGAATCAATCGGATTATTTGATAATAACCGGTCAACAGACGCATAATGGGAATACCACGCCATCTACTCCTATAAAACAACTTCCATTCAGTCCGTCACAATTCTTAAATAGTCTAAGTCCTGAAACATCCACTTGGCCTCGAGCAAGTACTCCAAAAACTGGTAGCCCTGGTCCTCTCACGACGCCACAGCCGACGGGTTTGCGACGAAGTCAAAATGGTAAATCTATTAAAATCGAAAACTATATATATATATTACAATAATAAAATTACTCGTCAGTTATTTGAATTTATAAATCATTCCTTGAAATATTTAGATGGTAATACACCAAGAACGCCAACGCCCTTTAAAAATGCTCTAGCTGAGCTCGAGCGACGAAGTGGCGTGACTACACAGTTACCTGCTACACCTAGCCATTTAGATGCCTTAACTGAGATAATTAAACAAGAAACTGATCGTGAGAGTCTCGCGAGTACGAGCAACATCCTTCAGGATTCTGGATATTGCACTACAAGGCGGCGGGGTAAAGAGAACAGTGCTCCTGGTGGAAAAAGGGCACGGAAAGCTCTCTGTCAAGCATGGGCAAATGTACCCCATGACAACACCGACATGAGTTTTGTCGTTGAAACGCCAGTAAGATTTATTTAAAAAATATATGTTTAACATTTATCAGATAATAATAATAAGCTTTATGTTATCTTTTTTATTTTTCGTTTTGTTCATTTCTTTTTATTTTGTAGAGCAAAAGTTTGGATACTTCAGTACTGTTCTCGCCAGCGTCCATGGCATTAGAAGATAGTTTCTTAACAGCAGGTCCAAGTCCCGTGAAGGTAGAGCAACGAATCCAAAATCAAAGTCAAGTTCAAACCCAACCAGCCTTATCCTGGTATTATTCCCGCACCAATCGCCTTTAGACACGCTAGCCGGCCTTCTTAATTTTTCCTTTTTTAACATTTCGCCTGTCTTTCTTTTCTTTTCTTTTCTTTCTTCTTCTACTCTCTTTTTCTTGTTTTTTTTTTGTTTTTTTACTTGTCTCTTTATCACTTTTTATTTCTCTCTCTCTCTCTCTCTCTCTCTCTCTCTCTCTCTCTCTCTCTCTCTCTCTCTCTCTCTCTCTCTCTCTCTCTCTCTCTTTTTCTTGTATATTTAATGCCAATTGTTCTTTCTCGTTTGTTGTTGTTATTATTTAATCGAGAAAACCAATGAAAGAAATCGTAGTCCTTCAAGTGTTTCTTCGTTCGCGTTTTATTTAAGTGGTTTTAATATATTTTTTTTCTTTTTCTTTTTTTTTCTTTTTTTTTTTCTTTTTTTTCTTTTTTTTTTTGGCGCCGCTTAACATCGCCCAATCCAAAGATTTATTAGTTTCTTGTTAGTTTTACCTTTCAAAGTATAAAAATAACAGTGACTAACGAGCATAACGTGAAAGTCATACGTTATATTTATATTAACTTATTTCTAATAACGCGATTGCTTTTGTCCCTGTTAAATATTTATAAACTAATAATATTTATAAAGTTATTATTAATTTTTGTAGTTATAACACTGAGGGAAAAAGAACACACTTAAATTGTTTGATTACGTTGGCTGTCGAAATATGATGGTCTTGCTTAAGAAAATAAAAAGAAAATAAAAAAAAAAAAGGATAAAATGAAATAAAATAAAACAAAACAAAAAAAAATAAAATAAAAAACAATAAGAAAAAAGAACCAACCTAAAAGTACTTAAATCTTAATTATAATATAAAACATTGTATCTATAAATGGTTTTTCCTTTTTTTTAATTTTCAATATTGATTAAACAATGTCGTTATTTTCAAAGCTGATCATAGTCAACCTTGTTTCGTTTTTTGTTTGTTTCGCTCGTTTTTCTTTTTTTCTTTTTTATCATGTTCATTATTTGTATCGAAAAGAAAAGAAAGGGAGTGACAGATTTGTATTTGTATAAATTAAGTTGTATTAAATTATATGTTACCTTTGATAAATTTCTTATTTGAAAAAAACAAGAAAAAAGAATAAAAATAAAAAGTAGCTATTCTCAAGAACATTTAGAGAATAATAAAATCGTTGCAAAAATCAGATCAGCGACTTCTTCGTTTTTAAACAGCGACATCCAAAGTTCTTTGTATGATCGTATACATAGTATTCCCATATTTATTTAATATATTATATATTATATATTATATATATTATGTATATTCGGGACTCTTTCTTTATTAGAAAAAATATATATATACGTACATGTATATGTATATACATAATGTATATATTAATATATATATATATATGTATATGTATATATATATATTATTAGCAACATGTTAATTTGCCGCATGTTTGTACTAACTTAAAGGGACGTCCTTTTATATTATTATTATTATACAGGCCTGGCCTAGCGTACTAAAGTACCCCAGTCCTGTCCTTGATGACCCAACAAACAAACGCAACAAACAATCCAAAGATATCTTTGTATGCGGCTATGTTGTAATATAATACAAAAATTATGCACGATTATACGAATTGAAACGATTTAAAACCCGTGAAAAAAAAAAAGAAAGAAAGAACAAAAAAAATATTCACAAAAAGGCCTAGTCATATCATCGTACCAATCCACGATATAATAATATTTATTAATGCGAGTAACAAGCGTGCGAATGAGAGGAAAAAAGATAGAAGTTCGAAAAAAAAATTGTTAAAGCAATCATGTTCAACGAACGGGTTTTGTGATTTTTTTTTTTTTTTAGACTGACTCCGAAAATCTGTCTGCCTATTTATTTATAAACTTTTATTCGTTACTGATAAAAAGAAATCTTTTTTTTTTTTTATCTTTTTCCCCTTTTTTTCTTTGTTTTTTTTTCTTTTTTTTCTTTTTTTGTAATACAATATCTCTACGTAGGTGCATTTTCTAATTTCATTTCTCGATCGCCGGCTGTAGCTAGTGTGTCTATCCTTTCCAGACTTCCCACGACTTGTTGTCCGTTCAACGGAAGCCCAATGCCAAGAGGGCAATCACGTTCGACGCGCTCGACAGCCCCTGTTGTATCCTCAGCCCTCTACCTCTGAGGCCGGTTAAACGTGCCAAGGTGAGTTCTCCATCTTACTGTTCTAATCCTTCTCTGATTCCTCTTCAATTTGTTTTCATCATTATCATCATAATCATCATCATCATTATCATCATCATCATCATCATCATCATCATCATCATCATTATCATCATCATCATCATCCTTATCCTCATCATCATCATCTCCATTTCCATTTATCATTAACAATATACAGCGATCTTGAAACTTCGATTTCCTAGGTACACAACATGTTTCAATTGGGCAATCAAACGAAAATGTGTAAATGACAATAAGAAATGTTTTTATTTTTTTACATTCACCATATTGGATCCAACGGAATGAAAATACATTAAAGCAAATACATGCTTATTGGTATAACGATATTTCTCTTTTAAATCGCTGTGCAACGAATGATTATTGACGTGTTTTTTCTTCTCGTGTTTCGATATTGAAAAATACTTCTAAACTCCAAATAAAAAATATTGTACACTTTAATAATATATTAATATTATATTATATAAATCTTTGTATATTATTAATGGTATATTGTATTAATTTTTTTGCAGTTACATTTGGAAACGCAGTGGGCCACGGTGGCTTGCGGGCGTACGCGTGATCAATTAGAAATGACACGCGCGGCCCGTCGATTTCTTAGCAATCACGGCTTTCTACCTTTACGCCCTCGGTCTCTAAATTTTTAGATCTTCCAAGGAAGATCTAAAAATCTTTTTTTCTTCTCTTTCTGATCTTCCTTTACTGAGGTGGGAATAATGAATCTTCGAAGAATTGGAAACTGGGGGACGGCGAGCACAGGGAGCTTAATTGTAACTTGCGGTACAAAAAGAAATATTAAGAAAAAAAAAAAAATAAAAATAAATAAAAACAAAAAAAATAAAATAAATAAAAACAAACAAAAAAATATAATAATAATAATAATAAATAAATAAACAAGCAACCGAACAAAAGGATAAAGAAAAAAATCATTACGTTAAAACTAGTCGGAGTTAATCTAATTAGGCACTTCCGTTTAAGGAATTCTGCCGTAATTGTCGAGTGTGTCGATTAACGAAAGAAAATAATTAAGGTGGGAAAGTCGTATCAAGAGGAAAGAGAGAAAGGTTCACGCTTTACCAACGCTTTTATTTTTTATTGCATTTAAAAAAAAAAAAATTATATATGTAAGATAGTAGAACGAAAAGAGAAAATGAGACAGGATGATCCTTTGCTTCCGCAAAAAATGAAGAAAAAACGAAAAGTTGTTACAGCGTGATAATGTTGTTTTGGTTACAAAAAAAAAAGAAAAAAAAAAGAACAAAAAGAAATAAAAAATACAAAATACAAAAGAAAACAAACGCAAGACAATGCAATTACTTTTATAGGGTTTATTTTTGGTTGTCATTATTTTTCCTTGATATATAACGAAAATTTTTAAGGGAGGTAATAAAAAATTATGTGCAAGAGTTTTTCGTTTCCTATTTTACTATTTTCCCCGACGAATATAAATATTATTATTATTATTGCCGTTATATTTATTCACGAACAACCAAAAACAAATTCTCTCTCTGTCATTTTTTTCTCTCTCTATAATTATCGTCCAAACAAACGAGCATTTTTCTCGACGAAGTAATCTTAATTTTCAAAAGGCAAAAAAAAAAAAAAAAAGAAACAAAAGAAAAGGGAAGTACGGCGTAAAGAGATCTCTCTTTTTTTCTCTTGAAATGGGGATAAAATTGAATGATAATCAATTTTTATTTGATATAATACTATATTATATATAATATAAAACAAAAGCATTATATTGCGGCCGTTATGTACAAAGAGCCTTTGTAACTGGTATTTAATTTACAAATGAATAATAAAAACATAACGATAGTTACAATAAAATCTATGTGTTTTACTTTGGCTGAAGAGAAAAAATGAAGAAAACAAACCCACAAAGGGAAGCTTTGTGGATGGTGCCATAATAGATATGAAATGTGCTACATCAAAATTAGAAATTTTGCAATATGTGCCACATATTATCTTCTTTACGGCGTGCCTTGGAATGAATTGGAATGGATAAATGGTATAAACAAAAGAAGTTTGTTTTACCTTGTATAATAAGTTCAAAGTAAATAATATCTCGAGGAATAATCTACATATATTCGACTAATGAGCAACGCGAGTATACGTATCTTGTTGAATCGAATTCTCGCGATGTTTAACATGCACTATAATTTGAAGATATTTTTAATTGCTATATACGGTGTTTAACGTAGTAAAAGTATTTTATAATTATTCGATACAAGTGCGTCGAAGAAGAATGACACGCGTGAAACACCACGTAATTTTTGCTGATTGATATAATACGACTAAAGTGTACCTGATCTACAGATGCCGTACGACATTCTGTGTATGTGTGTGCTACATTGAAATATATATACATATATATATATACACACACATATATATATATGTATATTTATTTAATTTAACTAGATACGAATAAGGCAATAGTGTCAAACTACATCCTTATGAGCATAAATGTTCTTGAATGAAATAAAAATTACTGCGTCATTATGAACATAATTAATAAACTTTCAATAAATCGTTCACTTATATTCACATTGGCATCGGAGTTTGACATCTCTGATATAGGGATATAATTGCACTTATTCGTACCAACGAGCGAAATAACAGAAACTAATACGTCCAATATACATATATATCTAATAAAATATTTGTTAATTTCATAAAAACACATAACGTAAACACATTAAAATGTTCTAATGGATTTCTATCAACTCATAAAATACTACTATATCAGTTTCTGATAATTAGCTACCACTCAATATTATTTATTACGCAATTTTGAAGCGTTCGAAACACGATGTTATTATTCTATTAATTCAATTATTAATATTACTTTATATTCAAATATAGAAAATGTTTACTTCATGCACTGTGAACGTGTTTTATGAGAAATAAGTAAATGCACGATACAAGATTCGAGAAAAGATTCTTGACATAAAAAAGTGAATTAAAGAAATTTATTATTTCTCTAATTTTATTCCTTTTTATGCAGAACGTTTCGAAAAATTTCTCAATTACTGCAAATCAAAAGTGTTGTAGATAAAAAATATATAAACACTATTTTGATAAGAATGTTTAAAAAAATGTCAAATCATTTTCGCAATATTTGCACAGAATGAGAAATTTCTTAGTAGTAGCTTATCCATATTAGCCGTTCTTAGTGCCAGTCATGTGAATTCATAAATTTATAGAAATAATAATGGCTTACGAATTATATTACCGATAATTCTGCTACCTAGGAACAATATTACAAAAACAATTTATATATTACCTTCGGTCTAATGTACATGTTCAACTTAAAAATAACAAGATCTGTTATATTACCTCCAGTCTAACATATATGCAATTTAAAAGTAACAAGCCACAAACAATTATCATGATTAACAATGCGTACCAGTTTCAAATACATAATACTGGAGCACATGCCGGTATATTTCTTTTGACTTTGTCCGGACTATGATCATAATTTGTACCTTGCCTCTTTGATGAATATAAATATAGATTATTAATATTGCAGAGCAAATAGGAAGAAGTAAATATCGGCATTTAGTTTTTCCTTAGCTCCTTGAATATAAGCTTCTATGAGGTTTGGATCAATAAAGCTTATTTCAGCAATATTGATGTATTTGAATATGATTTTAAATTAAACTAATTAATGTACCTATTATGTTCTAAATTTAACACATGCTCATACAAATGAACAGCGAACATATTGTAAGACTTTTAATGGTCATTATCTATTTTAAATTTTAAATTGGAAATAATAATCTCAAAATATCATTAAACAACAAGAAAATGGAATATATTAAGGAATGCTGCTTTTGAGGAAACATTGCTCCAAATGGCGTTCCAAAGTAACCTCATTAATTCTGTTCTGCATTCTATTGCAAATTAATAAATTTATTTTTTAATACTTAAAACTCTATCTCTGAGATTGCTCCATGTCATCTGTACTGCTACCACCAGCTGCCTCGTCTAAAGCATTATCATCTAATGAAAAAAAAAAAATATTACATTACTATCTCGAAAAAATTTATTTCCAAATTTTTTTTCATTATAGGATAATAACAAATTTAATATTCTACCTGGTGATGGAGATCCCTTGACTCTACAAGTATTGTAACTACCGCAATTTAAACACTTTAATCCAACGACATGATATTTCACAGTAGATTCCTAAAACATCATTTTTCTATAATAATTATATATAAAATATCGTCCATTTTATTCCAGAATCATGAATGTTCAAATTTTTATCTTTTAAATTGAAGTGTATATTGAATGTCCTTTTTTTTGTTTCTAATTTTAACAATACTATATTAGTTATTATAAAACACGTATTAATTAATTATAATGATAGACACAAAATATTTAATATTACGAATATAATGATTATTATTGCTCACCTCATGACAATCTTTGCATAAAATATCTGCCTTATAATCCCTGTATTCCTCCGGCATTGGTGTTAAAGATACTTCCATATCTAAAAATCTCCATAAGTCTGTCATGTCTAGAAGAGATACCTGACATGTGGGACAAGCATAATGACCATAATGTAGCAATTCCTCAAAACAAGTCCGATGAAGCAAGTGTCCGCAACCTGGGATATGACAAGGAATACGGCTTGTGTGAATATCTTCTAGACAAACGGGACAGTTTGCATGTGACACATTTTCCACGCACTGTAATCAAGATTAGATTCATATTATTGATTTTATACATTGATTTTTTTCTCTTTACATTCTTTTTTTTTCCTTTTACATTTATTATTCCATTGTATTTTATTGTGATGCATACCGTGTGACCATTTTGTAGCTGAATTGGGAGACACATATTGCACTTGGCACAATGAAAGAACCTATCCCGTCCGCCAACTCTGCATATTCCACAGCCATCGCAATGATATTGATTCTTATCTTCATCGTCGAAAAGATTGCATTCTAAACATGTATACTTTCCAAAATGGCAATGACAGTTTTGACATGTAGCCTGTACAGGCTGACGAGTATCGCAAAGAACACATATTAATTCTGTTACTTCCTTCCTGTTGACAGTATGAGTTTCTTGTTCATCGTGACAAAACCGGCATGTATAAACCTTATTGCAGCAAGGTGTCTATAATAAAAATAAAAGAATAGATTAACAAAACCAATATATATATATATATATTTTCAATAAATCCATTATATATAAAAAGAAATACCTTGATAAATTGTATTAAACCCAATTGACTTAATTATACATATAACAGAATTATATTATTAAATATATAATTGTAAGATATATTAAGGATGTATCTATCAATCGATATCGATTAAATGTAAAATGAATAAAAGAAAATATGATTTTCGTATCGTGTACAAAGAGAAAGAGGAAGAAAAATTTTAAAAGAGAATGTTTTAAGAATAAGGGAAGATAAAAAGAAAAGAAAAGAAAAAAAAAAAGAAAAAAAAACAAAACAAAAGGATCATTACCACGAACTTCGATTTCCGTTTATAATGCTCACAGCCGTAATCGTCCTCGGACGTAACAGTAGATTCGTCTGTCGAGGTCGAAGCACGATTTTCATCTGTTGTAGTAACAGAAGGATCATCTTCCGAGGTTGAAATGCGAACTTGTTCCTTTCCAGAACTCGTAGAATTTTCTTCTCTATCGGAATTATCGCTGGAAGATGGTGCTTCGCCATCAATGTTCCCAACAGTACGCACCTTTTCGCTATTCTCCATTGCGTTACTTCCTCTTTTTCCTCTTGCTCCTCCTCCCCCTCCTCCTCCTCATCGACTTGTTCCTCTCTGTCGTCCTCCTATCCAACAGATCTTCCACCACTGTCCTCCACGCTTGTTGCTAGATCTTCACTTTCTTAAATATAATTAATGGTATCCCTTTAGGCGTGTGTCACTCGAAATTGATAAAAAGCCAAGCAGCTAGTTAGCTAGCTAGTCCAGTCCAGTCAGTCAGTCAACCATCCAGCTAGTCTTCTCAGCGTGGATTCGAAAATCTCTATCCCTGTCCTATGTGTATCTCTTTCTCTCTCTCCCTCTCTCTCTCTCTCTCTCTCTCTCTCTCTCTCTCTCTCTCTCTCTCTTTCTGTCTCTCGTTCTCTCTTTCTGTCTTTCTCGTTATTCCCTTTTCTCTTCTTCTCCTACACAACTTCTATTAGATCTTAATTTTTTTTTTCCTTACTGTATATCTCTATGTCTCTCTCTCTCTCTCTCTCTCTTTATTTCTTTCTCTTTCTTTTTTCTCTATCGCAATATCGTCACACAATGCTATTAAATGTATATATATATATATATTATATGTATATGTATATGCACGTATATATGTATATATATATATTATATATCACAAATTCCTTGAGTTTAAAAACGTAGATATTTTTTTTACACGGTACAAATATTATTGGCTGTTCGAGAATGTTTCATATTTAAAGAAAAAGAAAATTGATAATCGTCAGTGAAGACAAACAATGACAACGACAAGGACGACGATGCCGCCGCCACTGTTGTCGTCGTTCCATTCGCTCTTTTAGCTAATCGATCGTCGTGTTACGTCGTTTTGTGCAAGAATAATCTTCATACGTTACGAAGAAAATCGATTTACATTATCATTTTCACACGTTACTAACATCTTTGCTGTTAATAAATTATATGAAATAAATTATTGAGAAAAGATCGTTTGTATTTTTGGAAAAAATTTTTTTCCGATGTATCAACGTGGCAATAATTGCGTAATTATTTGATATTATTTAACGAAATTATTAGAATTATTTTATGTCGAATCGCAATGCAACTTATTAGGGAAGAAGGGAAAAGGGGGAAAGGGAGAAGAGGATAAAAATCGAACGTAAATTAAATTTTTATGTAAAAATTTATTTCGATCGTTTTATTAAGTTTCGAGAAAAAATTTTTCTTTTTCTTTTTTTTTTTTAATTTCAAACGATACCTTATTAATCGTATCGTCCAATCAGATTTTGTCTTTTGATGCAGGTAGTATTTCATGAAAATAAAGCAAAAGGAATGGGATATATTTCAAAATTATTCTGAAAGTGATTCGATTGAAATGTTATTGCGTATATTCATTTGAATCTTGTTTAAATCAAGATTATTAGGATTGCCTAGAATACACGTACACATAACACACATATTTGTAATTTAATAAACAAATACATACTAAAGGCAATAGTATATGTGTGTTATATTTCATAAATTGAACTTTACGTATACCGACGAGAATATATAAACAATATCTCTCTTTCTGTTATATGTTATTGATTAAGTTATATTAGAATATAAAATTGTACAGCTTAAGAAGATGAAATTTAGATGCAGAATGATAGACCTTACAGCTATGCGAGATTTTACTAGTAAGCATCTTTCACGCTTCTTTAAATTTATTCTTTATCTTGTAACAATTAAGTTACATAACCTCAAATAGAGCTATTATTTTGCTTTGATCGAAAAATGAAAATTTAAAAAAAAAAGGAAAAGAAAAATTGTAACTATTAAAATATTAATTATTCGTTAAATAAACTTTAAGAAATAAAGAAAGCTGAAAAATTTCGTACAATAATGCTACGTAAATAATTTTAATCTAGTAAATATTTTTAAATGAAAGGATGTTGAAATTAATCGCATTAGAAATTTGGCGGGAATGTCGATTTGACGTAACAGTTTTTAAAAAATATATATAATTTACTTTTTTTTACCTTTTCTTTCAGATATTGTCACTATCATTTCAAAGATATCAAAACAATGTATCTTACGATTAACTATGGACGAAATTTCTTTCAATATCGGTTATGATAATATACCCGTTTTATGGGCAGAATTATCTCAAAGTCATTTTTTTACTGAATATATCATGAGTGGCGTTTCTGAAGAACAAAATGAAATTTATTTAGAATTTGAATCGTCAATGCTCGCTAGGAGTTTAAGTTCTCTTCGTTTACAGTCAAAGAGTGTAAAAATTAAATTAACAAATAAACTACAACCTTGTCTAACGTTTGAAATTGAATTATCATCTTCGAACGTGGAATCAAGACAATGTGTTCACGATGTGCCAGTAAGAGTTGTGCCACGAAAAGAATGGACTGCTTACAAAGTTCCTGATATACCAGAATTTGATGTAAGTTACATTTTACAAATTTAAAGTAATTTATATATTAATCAATTAATCAATCAATCAATCAACCAATCTAATATTTTAGATATCCATAGATATGCCACAACTTAAATATTTACGTAATATCGTAGAAAGAATGAAAAACATGAGTTCACATTTAACATTAACAGCCGATAAAACTGGTATGTTCATATTAAGAGTAGAAACCGATAGTGCGAATGTGTCGACACACTTTCAAGGATTACAGGTTTGGTCTAGTGGTCAAACTGAAGACAATTTTGCAATATCTGCTACGATAGATGTGAAAAAATTGTTAACCTTTTTATCTTGGGACATTGTTCATCCCAATTCCGTAAGATGTAATATATTGGAAAATAAAATAGTGAATTTATTTTTAGATTTAGCAGGATATTTGAAAGTTCGCTATTTTGTTCCTGCGATTGCGATATAAAAATTAATTAATTAAATTATATAAGGTATGAAATAAAAAGTATATTTATTTTACTTTTTTTTTTTTTTTTAAATCAAATTTTGTTTTTTTTTTTTTTTTAGTCCTCTTCAAAAATATATAAAATATGGTTGTTTCTTTGTTTATAGAAATGAATCATAGACATGTAAAAAAAAAACAAAGAAAAAAAAACAAAAAAGAACATTTAGTATGATTTAATTATATGCTAAATTAAAACTTCGTTCGTTTTCTTGTCTGAAGTTTTGATGCATTTGATCGATCTGTTGTATTTTTTGAGTTAGAAGAGCTGTTCTTTGATCAAGCCATTGTAAACTGTTCATATGTGCATTTAAAATCTTGCCGATCTGTACAATTGGATCACTAGAATCTTGAACTCGATTGGCTTCGTTTAAATGTTCTATTATCTCTTTTAAATCTTCTGACATTTGTTTTAATTGAGTATCAATATTTTCTGCTAGACGATAAGTATATTCTCTTTCTGGATCTGAGACAGATAATGATGCCAATTCTTTTTCAAGTGGTACCAAACAATCTTGTAATTCTTTTTGCTGGCCAACCTAGCAAATCAAAATAAACATTTAGATTATTTATTCTAATAAAGTAATTTATATGATCATTAAGATATTAATACATACGACATAATCTAATTCATGTTCTAATTGTTGTTGTTCAAGCTTAACTCTTTCAACTTCCTGATTTAAAGTTACTATTTTTTCTCCATTGGTTATAAGTAATTTGTCCCATGCATTAACTTGTGTTGCCTGATTTACAAATACTTTTTCTTGTTCTTCCAATTCCAATGTCCATTTGTTAATGGACTCTTCAAGTTGACAGAAGTTAATAGCTCCTGGCTGTATAGCATTGGCAGATGAACTAACTCTAAATAAGATAGCAATTAATATACATTTATATTAATATTAAAAATTTTATTATTTCATAGAGTGACACATGTATTTACTTACGTGGTTGTAGTTCCTAAAGTGGTATGAGTAGTGACAGTTGCAACATTTGAAGGTGCAGTAACAGATGTAGTTTTGTTCAGCATAAAACCAGTAGTGCTTGATGCAGTTGTACCAATTGAAAAAATGGACGCAGCTGAAGTTGTTGTCGCAGTGTTTAAAGAAAATACTGTAGCTGTGGTAGCAGCAGGTGTATTAGTTAGTCCAAATCCTGCTGTAGTGAATGGTGTGGGGGTAAATCCTGTTTGTATTGTAGATGTTTTTGCTGCATCTTGAGACAATCCTGTCACGGTGGGTGTTGTTGTAGTTGGGTTTCCAAAAGTAAAAATAGGTGTAGTAGTAGTTGTTGCGGTAGTTATAGTACCACCAATATTAAATCCAGTAGTGCTAGATGGCACAGAACTTGGTGTTCCAAAACTTATACCAGTTGTTGCAGAGGTTTGCGCACCTTCGGTACCTGTAAGCACTGTAGGTGTACTCTGCAGATTAAATCCTGTAGGTACCACAGTACTAGGAGTACTAGCATTTGCTGTAGAACTAGCCAATGTAGATACACCAAATCCAGTAACTGGAGTAATTGTCGCTCCAATAGTAGGTGCAGAAGTATTTGGTGTATTACCAAAAGTAAAACTTGTACTTTGACCTGGAGTAGTTATTCCAGATCCAAAAAAACCACCAGGTTTATTTTGAACTGGTGTTACTGTTAACCCAGATGTTACTTGTTTACTTGCATCACCAGCTCCGGCAAAGCCAAATGAGAAGCCTAAATATATTTGTATTGTCATCAATAATATTCATTTAACTATGATAGAATTTCTTTTTTTTACTCTATATTAATATAAATGTATAATAATTAAGCAAAAAAATAAAAGATTAACGTATATATACCTGTTGGTGTGGCCACATTCGTTGTAGTTGCGGCATTGCCTTGAGTTTTTGAAGGATCAAATCCAAAATTCATAATTTTATATTAAGTTACACTTTTTCAACACTTTAATACAATAACATTAATATCTTTTTTGCTTAAATACAAATGAAATAAAGCTCAATAGATTTTTAATATTTTACAGTTCATCTGTATGAAACAAGTAATAATAAAATTTAATAATTTATTATGAATAAATATACATCAACATACGTCACTTTTCGTTTTGGCATAAATTCAATAGCAAAGAATGTTAGCCCACCTATTTCCGTTGCACATTACGTTAATACGATACAAAACATTTTACCAACTAAACCATATGAATTACCCTATTATATCCAAGTAGTAGAGTTCTCATGAACATGTTATTAAGTTGTCCAATTATTTACTTTTATATATTTTATTGCATATATAGAAGAAGAGGCCGATAAATATTATGGCATAGACGATATCATAGTTTTTCGATCTAGAGGACTTTCTTATGCATAGGTGAGACGATTTGCTGAATAAAAAAAATGGAGGTAAAAGTAGTCAGAAATTTAATACATTTAAAAAAATTTTTTAACAATTTTTTAACTATTCTATTATTAAAATATATTATAGGTTTTTTATTTCTTTTCTCTTTTTTTTTTTTAAGATGTTTTTATAAATCATGCTATTTGTGTATAGAACAGAGAACATATCATATATGCAGATAAGTATATAATGCTTTTATTTATTATATTCTATTTAATATATTCATTGATTATATAGAAAAACATTTGTAAATGAGTGCAGTTTATAATTTTATTTCTATATTATATATTATTTTTATGTGTTTTTAACAATAATTGTGTAATTTAGTTTCATATTTTACCGCCTGCGTAGATCAACTTGCGCATAATACTCGAAGTAACTTTTTTCCGTTTAACTTTATCGAGATGGTCCTTCCCATTTATGGGGATTTGTAATATAGTCTTATTGCATATATATATATATATATATATATATTCTTCATAGACCGTCATTCATTGGTTGATTCAACGGCACTACATTTTTTCCAATAACGTGAAGTATGCCATAGATATAAATTCAAATTGTTAAATCGTCTCAGATGGCGCTGTTACAATGGCGCCAACATTAATGTGCGAAAAGTCAGGTTAATCGTTATGTTTTCGTTCTTAGAAAACACCTCAATGGACGTCATCAAAATTTTTCAGACAATGTCGTTGATTGTTTTTATAGAAAACAAGGAAAAAACTTGAATATTTGATATTTACCTCGACAAATATGGATAAAGTAATCAAGGCCATCATAGATGGAATATTTAGAATTCTAATTTCGAAAGAGAAACGTTGTCGAATGAATTGTGAAAAAAAAAGAGAGAGAAGTATATATATACATAAACATATATATATATATAATGTCATCTATATAGATGCATATGTTTAAACGGAAGATATAAACACGACGCGCCCATTAAAACAACAATTGTAATGTGACGGTTTTGTCGAGCCATTTTTTAAATGTACCTTTTACTGAAAGACCGACGATATTCCTACGCCGTTATATAGTTGTATCATTGCGCGTATAGAATACGCTTTTTTTTTTATTGTGCGATGCGTTTTAAAGAAGTATTCTTTTATACGCCGATCGTCGGAGGGAAAAGTTCTCTTGGTTTGCATAACTGTTGAAAAAAAAAAAAAAAGAAAAAAAAACAATTGAGCATCGATAATGAAAAAAGAAATGATGTTCATTTTAACGTACATTTGGATTTGTTCAATTTTTTTCGTCGATTTCATTCATGGCTCAACTTTAACGGCACCACCTTTGTCAGTTTTGGTTATTGGTTTTGAAAATGGTTACGATCTTTCCTTAATCGCAAACACACTTTCGGATCAGGGTATCGACGTGACATTGGTTATACCTGAAAATATCGCTGACGATCTTCATGAGAATCTTATTGACGTTGAAGTTTATCATTTAAAGGATCCTCACGAGAAGTCCATTTATCCGGAGGACAACGCATTGAAATTCTGTGAGAGTTTATTCAACGATCAAGAATTGTCGCAAAAGGTACAAGAATTTCGAGCGACGATTACATTGTTTTCTCCTTTGAGGTTAGTCGTCAAATTCGTCCTTTTTCCTTCTCTAATTTATAAAATATAATATTCTTCATTGAATTATTGTCTTTTTAGGCATGATGGATGTTTATTACCATGGATCAAATCGATCGATTCTATACCTGTTATATTAACTAGAAATGCTTATGAAGAAGTTTATGCCTTTGAACGTACCGGTGTGGCTTTGCCAATTTTAAAGGGTAGTTTTTGGCGTAGAATATTTATGAATTTTGCATGGCAATCGACATCATCTAATATTCAAAGGAATTATGTTACACCGGCTTTTCATATAGCTAAAAAATATTTAACGAATTTAGAGATAAGTCAAGATAATTTATATTCAGATGTACGTTTAGTATTATGGGGTGCAGATTCTATTTTACGAATGGATTTTGCTTCTTTAACGCAAATGTTAGTTGAGGTGAGTTTAAAATTCAACGTTAAAAGTATATTAAATTTCTAATATTCATAGAAATTAACTTTATCACAGATTGGATGTCATCATTGTAGAGGATCACAGCCTTTACCAGGAGAACTTCAAAAGTTACTCATTCAATATAGACTTGGTTCTATTGTTGTACTTTTGGAGGAATATTATAAATCATTCATAGAAGAGATTGCTAAGAAATTGTCACAGGGTAGACAGGGACAAGCAGTGGTATGGAAAATTCAAGAATCAATTTTTGACGAAGAGAAAAAACTTCCGGAAAATCTTTATCTCTGGCAAAACGTTGATAGACAAGATCTCATAGGTACATACAATTAAATATTTAAGAAATAATTTATATAATCTATGAAAAATAATAATATGAAAATTATTAATTCATAGGTAATGGTCGAACGCGTTTAGTTTTGAGTCATTGCACTGATATGGAATTATTAGAAATTGCCTTTCATGGTTCTCCTGTAATATGTTTTCCAAGGGATAAACAGGAATCTAAAAATGCTGCACGTGCCATCGAATTAGGTTTCGCACATTTAATCGATGATAACGATCGACGATCTTTTACCAGTGAGGATATAACTAATTTCATCAATACGATTAATACGTCAATGGATTATCGTGAAAACGCTAGAAGAATTTCTGTAGCTATACGTGATAGATTAAATCCAGCATCGGATAGATTGGTTTATTGGCTTCGTTATGTCGCCAGAACGAAAGATGATCGGGAAAGATTTCTCGTTGCATCTTCGAACGTAAACACCCTTTACGAAGATTTTCAATTCTTTCTTGGTCTTTGCACGGGAATTATCGTAGGTATTTTATTGGCTGGCATCAGTTTTTTATTCCGATATATGCTAATGTCAGAAAAAATGCGGAAATCAAAGGGAAGATATCAACGTTAATATATATATATATATATATATATATATATGTATATGTTTATGTATATATATATATATCTTTTTAAAGCATCGTAAGTATACGTATTAGAAATTAATTGTGATACACAATAATAGACGCTTTGTCGCATATGTATTTATATAAATGCACATGGATTACAGGTACATACATATACAAATGTTACGAACTATATGGTATATCTCATTTCTAATAGAGAGAGAGGCCTAATCATATTTACGAGAAGTTATTTAATTAGTAATTTTGGAAAAGCTAATAATATAATGTAATATATATTATCATAAGGAAAAATAAATTATACAAATTTCTCAATACTGCGGCTCTGTGTGATGTACGCGGCAATAACGAGTTTCTCGTTTGTCCTATGCGCCTTATCATAGAGTCTTACAAACATACGGACGAATAGAGGTATCTAGTAATAAACGTATCATTAAGATCGCAGTCCTAATTAAATTAGCGATTAGGTTGTTTCTGTTTGTTTCGTATTTTTTTTTTTCTTATTTATTTATCTTTTTTTCTTTTTTGGGGTTTTTTCTTTTTTTCTTTTTTTTTTCTTTTCTTTTTTTTTTTTTTTTTTTTTTAATTATTTTTACTTTTTATTTTTACCTTATTTTGTTTTTCTTTCATTTTTCATACAAAAAGGAAAAAACGAATTCGCAACGTTATCGTTCGTTTGGTTGCATGCATACTGCAATCTCCTGATCGACGATTTTTATTCTATCGATTTTTTTTTTCTTCGTAGAGTTTTAAATTTTAACTCGTATATAGCACGTAAAACGCGTGAAAAGTAGTTACAAACGTACGAAATGTGAATATTTTTCAGACTTATTAGAGACTTTCCTTTGCTCGTAGACAAACCATTGAGTGTATGTATATATATATATGTATATATATATATATATATATATATATATAATTTTTTTTTCCCCCGTTTTTTCTTTTAATCGTAAAAAAATTGTCACGTATCGATTGCTTTCTATGATTCTTGTTTTTTTTTTCTCTTTTCTTTTCCTCTTTTTTTTGTTTTTTTTTTGTGTTTTTTTTTTTTTTTTTTTTTTTTTTTTTTTATTATTAAAGACAAATAGAAGTAGAAGCACTTATTATTAAACATTATCTTCGTACGAACAATCAAAGAACAGGAATGTTTCGAGATGCAATCCTTCATCAAAGATTCGAATCCTCAAATCATATCATATTTTTGATTATGCGATCTTTTCGGGTATGTTATAAAACAAAAAGTATATGAAATTAATGTTATATTATTAAATTAATGGATCATCAAAACGTTATTAACGTTTTTAAATCGTACAGAATAGGATTATCAATCCTTTGCGCTTTTCTTTTCGTTTCAAAATTTTTTTTTTCCTCCTTTAAATCTATCATACGTTTCTTTTTTTTTTTCTTTCATACAATAACGATAAACGTATGAATAATAAAATGAGGTCGAGGTTGTACAGATAATAAAAAAAAAAAAAAAAAGTTTCGATTCGAAGTGGAAAAAATGACTGATGATAAGAACGAATTAAGAAGGTGTCCATCACAAAAAAAAAAGTTGTACATCTACCTTTATCCCTGTTTTATATCTAATGTAAAGCTCAATCAATCACTTGAAATTATATCTACGACATAAAAAGTTTCAAATATCAACTTTCAACAAATATCAATAATAATCTAGAACAATTGGAGATTGTCAAAGATTAAAAATAATTATGGCGAACAAATAGATCTTTTAATTTACAATAAATGCCCGATATTGTATTGGACATCACATAGAATTAATAATGATAATTTAATATTAATTTTTTATCTAGAAAATTATTGCATATTGAAATTTTGCAAAATCTTTGATATCAAATTATCAAAGCGATTTAGTAATTTTTATGGTGATTAATAAATGGCTTGAAAATTTTCATGTTTAAATTATATCGTATGTTCGTTACTACTTTAATATATATATATATATATATATATATATATATATATATATATATCCTTCTTCGCGGCGACGTGTGCGACGAGTCTTAAAGTGATTCTTTTTTTCTTTTTCTTTTCTTTTTTCTTTTTTTACTCGCAAAACATGTTCGTTTCGTGCTTGGGCAGGATTCGAAAATGCGGTATATGTGTAATTATATTTACGTATATACAGTTACACGGATCTCTGGACGTAAAAGCTAAATACGATATAAGATATTATTTACATTCATTCATTGGCAGATTTTTTTCACGTTCGTTTACATACGAGTGTTTCGAGCACTTCGAGACGAGAATAAACGACGATGACAATGACGACTATGACGATGACGATGACGATGACGATGACGACGATGACGACGATTACGACGATGACGATGACAATGACGACACGATTTGACGTCTTGCGTTCGTCCTTCTTCCATGATAATACGTGAACGATATGGACAATCCTACTAGCATTTCATATCAATAAATCCACCATAGTTCTTCATATATACTTCATTCAAAACGTACATGCGATCATCGTACCTTTCTTTCTTTTTCTTTTTTTTCCCCTCTTTTTTTTCTTTTTACTTTTTTCTATTTTTTTTTCTCCTTTTTTTGTTTTTTTTTTTTTCCTTTATTACGCCGAGAGTGCGGCAGCGAGCGTTACGATTATTCTTACTTTTTTTACGTGAAGACAAAATTCTAGGCGCTAGAGAGCATTGGCATACATTAAAGATACCCTACACTTTTTAGAGATCTTTTCGTTTTAATGATTCTTTTTTTTTTTTGTTTGTTTTCTTTTTTACTTTTCTTTTTTTTTCTTTCTTTTTTTAATTTAATAGATAAGACTCACTATGTGTGTATGTCTGTCTGTTTCTGTGTCTGTGTGTGTTGCGTGTCTCTCTCTTTTTTCTCTCTCTCTCTCTCTGTGTGTGTGTGTACAAATATGCGAGTACTCTTTTCTTTTTTATCTCTCTCTTTCTCTCTCTTTTTCTCTTTTCTATTTCTCTCTTTCTCTCTCTATCTGTTCCTCTCTCCTCTTCTCTCTCTCTTTCTCTCTATCTATTTCTTTCTTTCTTTCTTTCTCTCTCTCTCTCTCTCTCTCTCTCTCTCTCTCTCTCTCTCTGTCTTTCATCTTGCACGTGGATATTGCATAATTAATATTTCGAGCTTTTAATGTTGTGATGGTAATAATCACTTTTATTCAAGTTATACATCATCGGACGAGCATACCAGGACGGTTCATCGTTAAAAATGAAAACACAAAAGATCTGATATGCGCCATATTCGTAGAAATTTAAACAAAAAAAAGAAAAAAAAAAAAAGAAGAAAAGAAAAATAAATTTGTAATCAAATAATACTTTTCAGATTGGTCAAAACGAATGTAACGAATGTACAAAGAAATTAATGTGTACTGTATGAAGTATGTCACAGTACGATTAGTAGTAAATGTAACAAGATATGTATGTAAAATAAGCTTTTCAAAATGTTCGTATCTATTTCGAGTAATATATGCAATTTATTGATAACTTTTAGTAAATATTTTACTGAAATTGACCGATGCAATAGAAAAAAAAGTATATTCATAAAAATAATCTCTTGAAAATTATTTCGATTTTGTAAGATGATAATCAATTAAAGCATTAAAAATCTTTGGACAAAACTTTTAAACATATAAATAGTTAGAATTTACAAAATGCATATATATATATATAATTTATTATGAATGTATTTTATAAAAATGGCTTACTTAATTTTTTTTTTGTCTTATCGTTAGAAGCCAATAAGCCAAAGCTAAAGCTTTTATTGCTAAAACTAGTAATTGTATTTTTTCTTCTTTAATGAATTTCGTACAGAATATTGATTATTAATTTTCTTTTTTGTTTTTTTTCTTTTTTTCTTTTTTCTTTTTTTTTTTGTTTATAATTTAAAAGAAAATTACTCGACATTAAAATAAAAAAAGTTTCTTGAATATTTCAAAGATCCATTATAATGATTATACATACATACATACATACATACATACATACATACATACATACATACATACATACATACATACATACATACATACATATATATTCAACTTAGTAGTGTACAGGAATACATATATATATCTCCTTTTAATAGGATATCTATCATCGAGAGTATACAGAGTATCCCATTTAAAATCGCGAATAAGTCTAAATATTTTTTTTCGACGGGATAAAAAAATGTTATAGAGCAATGTTACATCGTTTGAAAGGGAAAGATGTAATGATATGAAATGTATTTTATTTTAAGGTCATCTTTTTTCCTTTTTAAGATATTAAGGTCATCGGTAGTTTTTTTTTTCTTTTTTTTTTTCAGATAGAATGGTACATTGGTTGTTACAGCAGTATGATAGCTCGTCAAAAAAATATATTCTTAGAGTATTATTGTTTTTTCGATCTCAAGGAATTGCCCGGAATGAAAACAAAAAAAGAATCATGTTTTAATAAGAAAAATGAGGGAGTCTCACAGCCTGACATTAAAAATATAACGCAAATCGTAATAAATTAGATGATGAATAAATAAATTAAAAAGAAAAGACAGTTTCTTTCGATGTAAGATATAAAGTGATATTTAACACGAATTTTAAAATTGCAACGAATATTGCATTCTTTGATCGTTGTTTACAAATTAAAAAACATTAATACGAAGAGAGGATATCGTCTCGAACGTATATTATGTTTTGTTTTAAAATCAATGGAAGCTTATGTGACTTTAAAAAAAAAAAACATCATTTAGATCGAAACGCTTAAGTTTAAGATTTCTACCTCTTTTTTTTTTTATTCTTTCAAACATTATTTTTTTCTTCAAAATCGTCCCAAGATCAGATATATCCCTATTACATTAAATATTTTCCATATTTGATAATTTTATGAGCTATCATATTGTTGTAACAAAAATATAAACATTTCATCAAAAAAAAAAAAATAAAAAAAAATAAAAAAAAGTAAAAAAATAAAAATGAAAATAAAAGAATAGGGGAAAAAAAGAAACACCGATGACTTTGATTATCTGAAACAAATGACCTTGAAAGGGGAAGAAAAATGTTCCTGCTGTATTTCTCGTTCCGTGACATTCTTTCGTTCCTCATTAGAATCAAGCGGAAACATTTAGATGTACGGTTTCAAATGGGATAGACAGATACACTCTGCGCTCTAGAATTGGAAAAAGAAATTAATTCGTTCTTTCTTTTTTCTTCCTTTCTTTTTTTCTCTTCTTTTTTTTATTCATTTTATTTATCTCTTTTTTTTTTCTTTTTTTTTCTTTTTTCAATAACACGACCGTCGATTTATCCTCATCGAGCGACGTAATGTCGTCGTTAATA